TAGTGATGAAAATTCTCAAGATCTGAAAAAAACTTGTTTAACCGCTTCAAGTCCAGATACTTTCCCCCCCTTCCAGTCCAGGCTAATTTTCAGCTTTCAGCATTGTCACACTTTACAATTACTCAGCAGTGCAGCACTGTATCCAAAATGACATTTTTATAATTTTTTGAGACAGAAAGAGCTTGGTGGCATTTAATCCCACTGTGTTTTTATTTTTGTTATTCAGTATAAACAGACAAATGCTAAAAAAAATTTAAAAAACAAGTTTTTCTTAGTTTCCATTATAAGATTTTGCAAATAAACAATCTTTCTTAATAAATGTAGGCCAAAAGGTATTCTGGTACATTTTGTGAGGGTACAATTAACCCAAATCAGTGTATATTATTTAGTTTGTTTGAAAGTTATAGAATCTACAAACTATGGTATATCTATTTGAAAATTGCTTAGTCCTGATGTACTGCCTGCCTCATTTCTTGAAGCCCTAAAATGCCAGGACAGTATAAATACCCCGTTTTTGGAAAGTAGACAGTCTAAGGTGTTTAAAAAGAAGGACAGTGAGTTTTTCAAGTTGTAATTTATTTCCAAAATTCTTCGGAAAATGATGAAAGTAAATACAATTTGTTTTGCTTTTTTCAAAAAGTTGTATGGCATACCTACAATTATACCACAAAAAAACATTCTGCTATGTCTCCCAAGTATGGGGATACCACATGTGTGAGACTTTTCACAACCTAGCCACATAGAGGGACCCAACATCTAAAGAGTACCTTCAGCCATTCTAGGGCTGCATCTAATTTCCTGACTACCTATCATATTTTTGGAGGCCCTGGAGTACCAAGACAGTAGAAACACCTACAAAATCACCACATCTTGAAAAGAAAACACTTCAAAGTATTTTTTAAGAGCCATGGAGCGTCTTTTGGAAATGTCATTTTTTTTGCCACGTTTGTGGAATATGTGGAAGGAAAATTAGCTTGCATTTTTTAACACAAAGTTGCCACTTAAGATATTTCTAACACACAGCATAGGCATGTTTAGAATTACACCTCAAAACACAATCTCCTACTCCTCCTTAGTAATGTGATACCACATGTGTGAGACTTCTTCACAACATGGTCACATAGATGGGCTCAACATCCAAAGAGCACCTTCATGCATTCTGGGTGTGTATATTACACATCCCACAAAATGAACACATTTTGGAAAGTGAACAGACCAATGTTTTTCTAAGAGGCATAAAGAGTCTTTTGGAAATGTCATTATTTTACCACAAGTTTTTGGAAAATGCGGAAGGAAAACAAAAGTTGCAGTGATCAGGACCCATTAGTATTGTGATGATCAAGACACACTGATATGGCGGTGATCTAGACACACTGGTATAGCAGTGATCAGAACCGACTGGTATGGCAGTGATCAGGACATACTGGTATGGCAGTGATCAGGACACACTGGTATGGTGGTGATCAGGACACACTGGTATGGTGGTGATCAAGATGCTGGTTTGTTGGTGATATGGTAGTGATAAGGACATTGGTGCAGGCATACAGTGGCCTGGTATCACTGCAATGAGGGACACTGTTCCTGTCAGAACTGCTGAGACTGGCACAGGTGACTGGCTGTAGTTTATTCACACTAGACACTGTTGGGTGGGAATCAGGGACACTGTGAGCTGGATGTCAATTTTTGTAACTGTAAACTGTGCGCAGAGTCTAGAAATTACTCACAGTTAGCTGTAACAGCTCTCTTTCCTCACAAATGATTGTGCTGATCAGGACCCACTGGTATGGCAGTGATCAGGACAAACATGTATGGTGGTGACCTGGATGCAGTGTGGCAGAGATCAGGACACCTGTATGGTGGTATTCAGAACACTGGTATGGCAGTGATAAGGACACTCTTTTATGACTTTGATCAGGACCACTTGGATGGTGATAATCAGGACCCACTGGAATGTTAAAGATCAGGGCATTGGTATGGCAGTGATCAGGGCACTGGTGTTTGTGTACAGTGCTCTGGCATCACTGCAGTCGGGGAAACTTTTCCTGGAAGCACTGATGACACTGGTACAGGTGACAGTGGCTGGCTGCAGAGAATGCACAGTAGAGTTGACACTTGGCGTTTTTACCTTATTTAACAATAAATAAACAGTGTTGCACTATGGAGGATCTTTGTTTTATCATTGTATGATTCCAACATGATGTGCATATATGGGCATATACACTGCCACCTGTGTATGGAGGAGTAACTGAGAGTGAAGGAGAGACCAGTAGGGGCTGTGGAACCTATCTTACCTGGAGATTGCGTGCAGGATCCTGGGTGATCCAAAAGGCATTTTTGCCCCTGTGGGTCGCAGCGGGAAGGTGAGCGGGCATGCCTGCAATTTAGGATTATCATTCACCACTTGCACCAGCACAGGAGCACGCTTGGAAAGTCATCATTGTTTATTTTTTCGACGTATGATTATGTTGGCTCATTATGGACATTGGCAATATTTGTGGTCTAACAATTGATACGGGTGATTACACTGATCACTTATATGTGATAGCATATATCCCTCTATAGGGATTCAGTGTGTTTCATTTTTCACTTATATTCTGAATGGGTTGATCCCCTGGTGGGGGATAGGTAATATCACTTGTTTAGGTTCACCATTGAACCTCTTATTTTGCAACGCTAACCACTTGTAAGTCACCTAATAGATCCGGTCAGATCTAACACAGAAAACAGGATCCACTTTATTTATATTGCTACATATGTTGCTTTATTTTTTTATAAGTATTGGGTGCTTTCTCACATCCACTAATTAGATATATATATAGCGCTACATCATCATTGTTGCTGTATTGTCTCCCGTTATATTGTAAAGCGCTGAGCAAACTGTTGGCGCTATATAAATCCTGTATAATAATAATAATAATGTTTTTGTTATCATTTTTCTAATAAAAAGATTTTTTAAACAAAAAAGAATTTGCTGCTAGATGCTTGAAGAGTACTAGAGCCAACAAAAAGGAGATACTCATTCTTTTTTTTGTTAGTTTACCTTTTATATAAATGTTTCCAATACAAAAAAGAGCATCTAATGCACACAGAAATAAAAAGACTTCACCAATACATAAATTCCTTTTGCGTCGTCTTATCCCCCCCCCCCCCCCTTCCAATTACCCTAGTCCATATCCAAGTTCCTAATTTTTATCCTTTCTTGTGGTTATCTATCTATATCTGTATCCCTTCCTTCCTATCGCCTTCTCTCTGTCGGATACTCCATTAGAGCTCCCTCAAATACTCTTCCACCTGCTGTATATTCCAACTAGTTCCAGATATCATTTAGGTGTTTTAAAAATTAACCAGCTACTCCACATTTTCCTAATTTTTTCTTATTCTAGCCTCCTCAATATGACACAACTCCTCCATCTTGTAGATATTTTCCACTTTGTTAATCCAGTCATTTATTCTTGGTGGGTCTGGGGCTAGCCAGAATTTGGGAATCAAGCCCTTAGCCACCCTGATTAGATGATATAGTACACTGTTCTTATGTAATTTTACTAAAGGTTCAAATTTGTAAAATAAACATTTTCACAGGTCTCTCTGTATAGTAATCCTACATATTTCCTGAATATATTGTAATATTCCCTTCCAGTAATCCTGTATTTTCAGGCAATCCCACCATATGTGTACCATTGTTCCATGTGTTCCCTTTTCCCCACACCCTCTTCAACATAAAGGTGAAACATCTACTTGTTGTTTATGTTCCTTACTCTGTGTAATATACAATCTAGCCAAACATTTGTAATTTATTTCAACTGTGCTCATATTTGGCACCTCATGTGTTAATTTGAATATTTTATTCTTTTGTTGCTCATTCAATTTTGTTCCAAGCTCATGTTCCCATTTTTCCAAGAACTGGGGAGGATTGGTATCCTCCATATCTATAAGAATCTTATAAATCCTAGAGGTGCCTTGTTTAGGAACTATATTTACATTCAAAAGTTTATCTACTGGATACAGATCCTCCAAAGTCATCAGTGGTTGTGGGAATTGTTACAATCATGCCCACAGAGAGAGGTGCTGTTCTCCATTTTACCCAAAACTTCTACATTTTAGTATATCTCTTAAACTCCTATGCAAACACCTGTGGGGGGGAGGTGTAACAATAGTACACAAGAGCAGATCTCCTCAATCCCCCTCCCTCAGGAATGCAACCAGCTTATGATGCTAAGTCTCTGCCTAACAATTCTTTGCCAAATAAGGCTTGGCTTGTCCATTGTGGGCAGAGATTTTGAGTAGGAAAAAAGGAGTGTCACGTTGCGTGTAGAGTCAGAAAAGTGAAGACTGTTGGCTCTGTACAATCTAGCTGACCAAGAGTCTTGTTAGACCATTGCAACTAAGTGCAAGACCAGAAATCCCTTCTTTAGCTCATAAGACTGGAAACTGCTTAACCCCAGGCATTTATTTGGCAAGTACTTATTTACCTAAACTTCTTTCTGTTATCTGTTTGCTGTGCTGTTGTGCTCTGTATATTTATATATATATATATATATATATATATATATCATAAATCAAAAATGTAGCGCTACAGACCCAAGATATACCAATGAAGACAGATAGGTGATTCATATGAATAAATAAACATAAACATAACAGTTCATAAAAAGGGTGACTTTTGGTGATTTCTTCTCTGTCCTATACTTCTGGTGCTCAGGCGTTGTGCAAAATAGTGCTGAGAGAATGCACACTCACCAGAACGCCCAGGAAAATGAGCGTTTAGTAATTATATATTCCCCTTGGAGACATCAGCCGGTCAGGATAAGATAGTGTGCTAGCCTCCCTCAAGAGCTCCTGTAAGTTACTGTGTGATCCCTCGGTAGGTGGCCTGTGGACTGCTCCTTGGGGACCACATACGTTCCTTACCCAGCGATGGCTGCAAATGAATACTCCCCAAGGGAGTCTTTTCTTTGGCTTCTTAGATTTCGTTTTCTCCTTTTTTTTTCTTCAGCTTCTTCTTACTCACTTCTCCCTCCTCTTTTCTTTGGCTTCTTAGATTTCGTTTTCTCCTTTTTTTTCTTCAGCTTCTTCTTACTCACTTCTCCCTCCTTTTTCTTATCTGCAGAAAGTGCTGGCTGGGCTGGAATCTCGTCCTCCTCATCAGAGTCCTCACTGCTTGTGCTGCTCACATCTAACACAATATCTCGCTGTGGGTCCACTCTAAGGAAGTTTCTACACTCAAATGTAAGGTGGCCAGGATATCCACACTTTTTACATCCAGCTCGGATATTGTCCTTGTTTACACCATCTAGCTGGTGCGGCTAAGGGCTAAATCCCTAAATTTTGGCTTGTCCATGATCCTGGCAGCGCCATAGTCCTAAGGACTATGGCGCTGCCAGGATCATGGACAAGCCAAAATTTAGGGATTTAGCCCTTAGCCGCACCAGCTAGATGGTGTAAACAAGGACAATATCCGAGCTGGATGTAAAAAGTGTGGATATCCTGGCCACCTTACATTTGAGTGTAGAAACTTCCTTAGAGTGGACCCACAGCGAGATATTGTGTTAGATGTGAGCAGCACAAGCAGTGAGGACTCTGATGAGGAGGACGAGATTCCAGCCCAGCCAGCACTTTCTGCAGATAAGAAAAAGGAGGGAGAAGTGAGTAAGAAGAAGCTGAAGAAAAAAAAGGAGAAAACGAAATCTAAGAAGCCAAAGAAAAGAGGAGGGAGAAGTGAGTAAGAAGAAGCTGAAGAAAAAAAAGGAGAAAACGAAATCTAAGAAGCCAAAGAAAAGACTCCCTTGGGGAGTATTCATTTGCAGCCATCGCTGGGTAAGGAACGTATGTGGTCCCCAAGGAGCAGTCCACAGGCCACCTACCGAGGGATCACACAGTAACTTACAGGAGCTCTTGAGGGAGGCTAGCACACTATCTTATCCTGACCGGCTGATGTCTCCAAGGGGAATATATAATTACTAAACGCTCATTTTCCTGGGCGTTCTGGTGAGTGTGCATTCTCTCAGCACTATTTTGCACAACGCCTGAGCACCAGAAGTATAGGACAGAGAAGAAATCACCAAAAGTCACCCTTTTTATGAACTGTTATGTTTATGTTTATTTATTCATATGAATCACCTATCTGTCTTCATTGGTATATCTTGGGTCTGTAGCGCTACATTTTTGATTTATGGTATTTTAAAGGTGTTTGGTAACCTGATGTATAGCTGCTGCAATTAGGTGCGCTCGTATACACATTTTTCTTTATATATATATATATATATATATATATATATATATATATATTGGTTACATCTTCTTTCTGTAAATATTCGTACTGCACCCTTTTAACCTTTTGGTAATAAATCTTACTTTCTGAAAGTCTTGAATTGTTTCTATAGCTCTTAATTGCAATTTACGAATCCCTGGCTCTAAAAAGAGCGCTACTATGAGTGTTTAACCCACTGTATAACCGGTCTGTAGAGATAGCGGTATACTGTCGATTAACCAATCATCCTAGTGTATTGCTGAGTTTCCTCTTTCTCTGTATAAAAAGGAGGTGGTGGCAGTGTGAAGGGTTAATTGCATAATTAACCTGAACCAGTAACAATCGCATTCAGGCTGCTGGTACGTCGATCGTTGTCCAATTAATTGGAACATCGGTGTGCATGGTGCAGCTGGGTGTGGCATTGTTACCCACGTGACAGGGCAGTTTTAGATCAGCTAGTCCTTCGGTCACGAGTTTGGTGAGAATGTCTGGGGTCTGATGCCGCTCCCGTCACAGGAGTGTTGAGACAAAATGACCTAATTGGCTATATCGTAACTTGTCTAATGTAAAAAAATAAATCTTTTTTTTCTTTAAGTCCGAAAAAGTGTTCAATTTCCCCTTATTCAGTATATCCTTTAAACATGCGTTCTTATCTGTAATCCATTTCCCAGATATATTATCCTTCACTGTCACTGATATCTTCTGGAAACCTCAGCCCTGCCAAGTTTCCAGTTTTCCATCTGATCGTGCATGCTGGAAAACCCCAGTTATATTGAACTTTTTGCTCTCTCGTATGCTCCAGCAGTGATTTCAGAGACCTTCTTCTAACCATTGTCTCTGAAGCAATGTCAGCAAAAATATGCAACTTTGTTTCCTCACATTGTATTTCAGTAATGTCACGCAAACTTTTCCATGTTCTTTCTCTGTCTTCATAATAATGAAATCGAACTATCACATCTCTGGGGTTTTCCGTTGAAACTCCTTTTGGTCGTCTAATTCTAATTCTAATGTACTCTCTCAATTTTCAGATTTTCTGTCGCTGATCTTCTAATTATTGGATTACACACTCTCTTTATTTTCTCCCTTAGATCCTCTTCCTGTTCTTTTTTTGGTAGACCACAAATCCTTAGATTCTTTCTTCTATCATGGTTCTCCTGGTCTTCCACTTTGAATAAAAGCTTTCTCTGTTCTCTATGCATCTCCTCCACCTTCGTTTATAATGTATAAATTAATTGAGCGTGTTCTTCCATTCTCCCCTCTACTTCCTTCACTCGCATTAGAGTATGACCCAAGTCATTGCGTAGTACCCTCATCTAATTTTTCAAGAACATCTCCAGTTTCACAAACATTTCTGCCATATTGGTTTTTGTAGGTATTTGTGACATGGCCCCTTGTTATTCCATGACACTTTGCTCCATGATACTGTCCAAACTTATCCATTCGATAGTTTGGTTTCCTTCCTGGGACCCAGATGACAACCTAAACATATCTCCATCAGATTTTCTAACTTCATGTTTTTCCTGAGCTTTTCCTGAGTTCGTTTCTCTGGACGTTTCTCCTGGGGGGCATGTATTTTTTAATTGTAGTAGCTTTTGCAATTAGTTGGGGGTTTTTAGCCCCCACCTTTAGCTGATTTGCCCTTCATTCCTGATTCAAATCTTGTGTTACTTTCCTGTTATCTCAGGTTTCCGGTAACTGTCACAAAATTAATCACCTGCGATTCCCCACACTGGGGTTTCTGTTATACTGTATTAAAATCATCCCCAGGTTTTCTAGTGATTTTTGCCACCCCTGATCTACTACTTTGGGACCAAAATAAGTTAAACAGTTCCACCAACCTAAGAGAACCCCCCACAGTATAGTTTAAATGTCCTACCATTGCCCACAGCAACTCACCATCTCCTTCCGCACCGACCATTGAGGACCGATCAGTCCCTGTCCCTCCTCCCATCATGGCCTCCATGTTGTGCTTCTGAACACATCTGTGGGAGGACCCTGCACATAAATGATGGTCTGGGGGGTCTCTAGGTCTCCTGAGGATAGTGTCTCAGCACAGGGGAGATCTCTCCAAAGCCCTGTTTCTACTTTGTCCGCCAAGCCTCCCTGCTCTCCTAGACCTTTAAGATTTCACTGTGTGCTGGGCATCCTCTATTGCCTGGGCACTCCCAGCTGCCGCCTCCCACTCCCTGACCGCTGGGGACCCCAGACTCCTGCATGCCTCATGGCCGCTGCTGACTGCAAGCCATCTGCTCCAGGATCCCGGCACCAAGAGGGTCACCTGCACTGGGACCAACCGGCCACCGATGGATACTCCTCACCAGCCGGAGCCTCTCTTAGGTCAGTTACGGGCAATCTGGTGCAAGGCAGTCAGGTACACATAGCCAGCAGGCACCCAGAGCATCACGCTGCTCACGGTGCCATGTTCAGGCCCCTCCCCCTACGAAGAGATACTCATTCTATTCTCATGTTCACAGCACTCTTACCAGGCTAGATTATTTCCTATTTGACAACCCCATTCTTAGAAATGTAGCCTTCACTGTAACCAGGCCCATAACATTTTACAATATTATCCTTCTACAATAAAAACATTTGCACTGGGAGTTAAATCAGTGACTCCTGTTAAATGAAATTGCTAAACAACTTATGGATTATGCCCTGAAAACAATATTCTCAACTTATTGAAGTGTCAGGGAGCGAGGAGCCAGGCACACAAGGAGGTGCAATTAAAGGTAGGTTTATTTACACAGAAACAAGGCAAGAGTCTATGCAAGTCCGACAGCAACAGCGGATGACTTGGTAGGACAGAAGTTCTCCTGCCGAGGTCGTCTTCCAGGATAATCAAGTCGAGAAACAGCAGGAATCATAGCCAAAGCCAGGGTCAGAAGCCAGGAAGAATGGTCACCAGAGCCGGGGTCAGAAGCCAGGAAGAATGTTTGCCAGAGCCGGGGTCAGAAGCCAGGAAGAATGGTCGCCAGAGCCGGGGTCAGAAGCCAGGAGGAGTCTTAGCCAAAGCCGAGTCGGTATCCAGGAGAGCAAAGAGTTAACTAAACAGGAGCTTGCTGCTGTGCAACAGACAGGACACAAATGCAATGGACAGCTGCAAACAGCAGACTTAAATGTGATAAATGTGACTTAAATGTGATAAGCCGCCACCTCCTGGGGGAGCCGCAGAGGGCTGAAAGCATAAAGGATACCACAATGCTTTGCAGACCTAAGATAGATGCCAGCACATGGATCAGCACAAGCCCTGAGGAAAGTTAGGACCTTGATATGAAGGATCAGTTTCCCATCAATTGACAATGTGAGAGGCTTATAAATCAGTTCTTATGGGATACTTCACATATTTAGCCTCACAAACAACAACATACAGGGACTTTCATTCTTTTTGAAGAAAAAAAAATATTTTTAAAGAAAACTTTTAAACTTTCAGACGATAATTGGACACCAAACCTGCCCAATGAAGATATATCAAATCATACATACACAAACTACTCTACAACATCTTTTAATGCACAAATAAATGTTGTTATACTTAGCACAAAAATACAACGAAAAAGGGAATAAGGCACATTCATTGCTCACTTGAAACCTAAAAGAGGAAAATGCTTTAAATAAATTATAACTATACAAGATCCAAGTAAGGTTGAACACCAATATCCATCCCTAAAAATAGCTGAAATGTTTATAGATTTGTATGAAAAATTATATAATCTCACTGACCTTGCTTACAATTATTTGGATGTAACCTTACCCACCACTGTTACTGTATATTTCTATTTATGTGGCATACCTAAACTGACAGCTAAATACTGTATCTCAGTATTCTGAACACACCTGTTACCCCATGCTATCATACATAACCTACCCAATGGGAAATCATCATGACTGGATGGCCTTACATATTTATATTATAAATCTTTCCTACTTATACTTATCCCTTAACTTACTAAATTGTATCATGCATTCCTTCATGATAAACCAATCACCTCTACAATGTTATTTTGTCTTGTCACAGAAATACCTAAACTGGAAAGATATGAC